CATGGGTGAGCAAGGCATGGGTGAGCAAGGCATGGGTGAGCAAGGCAGAAAGAAGCACACCCTCGTGGCCTCTGCTTCATGTTCTCTGTATGTCTGTCTTGGCTTCCCTTCATGATGGCCCACAAGCTATAAGGTGAAATAAACCTTTTTGTTCCCTAGTTGTTTTTGATCACGATGTTTTATCATAGCAATAGAAAGCCAAACTAGGACAGACACAAACCATAAATGTTTTTTGAAGACATTATTAAGTGAAAGAAGCCAGATTCAAGGATTACATATAATATTATATTTATATTCAAGGATTAATTTATATACATTTATATGAATCCATTAGTACAGCATCATGTTTCAGGTAAATCCATAAGGACAGAAATTAGATCAGTAGGGACTGGAGGCAGCTGGAAGGGTGGACTACTGTTATTAGTAGTGGGTCAGGAAGATATTTCTTTACTAATTGTGATGATGGCCAGGCAACTGTTTGTATTTATCAACTGTAAAAAACAATATAGTAAAAACAGTGAAATGTACTGTCTATAATCAGAAAAAATGTGAATGTTCAAACTATCACTGATAAAGGTGAGGAGGGCAAACACGGAAGAAGTAATTCCGATGGGGCCATGCCGGCCCTTGAGTGTGTCCTTGTGGGATGATGGCAATAGAATCTAATGTAACAAGCACTCCTGAGTTGTGTCACAGGGACACGATGGATAAAGGAGGATAGACATGAGTGATGAGGAGGGGGACCAGAGGGAGCCCTGTGTCTCTGGGTGGATAGAAGATCGCTGTGCTGTGGTGGGAAGTGTCTACCCAGTTCCCACACTTGTTACTTGATCCCCCCTTTCCTGTCATAATTCCTTCATTTCATTAACTCCCACACATCTGTCAGGAATCACTTAATTGTCATCAGCTGGGTCATAAGCTGCTCCTGTGTTTACAGATCACCTTGATTGTGTGTGTGTGTGTATGTATACATATATATACATATATATACACACACAATGTTATATATAGTATATTTAATATATATTTCTATTATAGTACTGCTGTGCTGTACTGCAGCCACCACATCATTCAGCTGCTTCGTCTACCATGTAACGCGTTTTAAAGAACTGTTGATTGATTTCCATGAGTTTCAGTTTGGAAAGAACAAATTCTAAGTATAATCATTTGAACAGGTTTTTCAAACTCAGTAACAGCTATAATAATTTAGCATTATGTTATGGATTGGTTCTAATGCTATTTGAGTTAATTCGGCTTCCAAATCACACAGAACGCTCACATCTATGCTAAGGGTCCCTGCTCCCAGTTGGCTCTGATTGGGGAATAAAGTTGTCTGTAGCCCATGTCTGTGCAAGGAAGACAGAAGCAGGACTTTAGATTTCCCGGGAGCAGGAGAGAGAAGAAGTTGATAGAATCACCATGACTTCGGGAAGCAGAGAGATCAGACTAGAGGGAGCAGGATAAAGCATACATCATACAAGAGTCAGGGAAGTGGCCTCAATTGGGTCTGGGGTAGCAGAGATGGAATATAGATTTTAGGAAGTAATAATTCAGGAATATTGGAGGGAGAGTGTGCTAGCCGCAGGGAAGTTTGAAAGTACCCAGCCATAAAGGCTGCTTAAGGTATTTAAAATATAAGGCTGTGTACGTGTGTCTTTCTTTTGGGAATCTAGACATTTTGGTGAGTGGTAGCGAGGAGCACCCGCCACCAGTGGGGAGTTCAGAGAGGATTAATAATCTACCCTTCAGCACTATATCCATAGAGACCACACTAACACGACACATATGAGTACAGGATAACAGCTCTACCGCCTTGCAAATGACGGTTCTTACAGTGGCTATGCTGAATGCCAGTGTGATCTGGAAGGGGAGTTCTAGAGCTCTCGTGGGAGAGCTTGGCACAGGTCTGCACCCCTCAGGACATTTGAAGGTGATCCCAGCTTATTTACTTTCTCTCCCTATACCCGAGGTTCAACACAGGTTAAATGAAAACAAGCTAATAATAACAGAGCTTTTGAAAATGAATAAACGGACACAGAAATGATAAATACTGTGCTTCTTACAGTCATCAACACGAGGTGACTAGGATAAAGCAATCTGCACATGGACTCTCTGCGTACAAGCTCTTGGAAGCCGAGTTCTAAGTTAGTCAAGGTACACACAGACGCAGTGTGAACAAAGATGAACATGGCCGAGCCCACAGTACCGACCATGTAGAGGTGTCCACAAACTTCCAACACACAGAGGTGTTTTTAGCTACTTTAACTGTCAGGGTTGTTTATACTTGTACATAGAAAATGACAATGATAAACTAAACATCTCCCTACAAAAGCAGGCTGCCTTCAACCATGCTGGCAAGCTGAAATGGCTCCGCACCTTTCGGGTAGATGTCTTTCAGAGGGACTTCCCCTGCAGGCAGAATCCTCACCACCTGATTGGTGTGTGTGAGAGTCACACAGTTGCTGTGCCTTGGGGTAACACTTGTCCGCTTCCCTGTATAGATTGTCATGTTGGTGACACTTGGTTTTCCCAAAGATGAAGACCTCTTCCATGAATAAACTTCACTGGGTGACTGAAAAAATATAAATAAAAAGAAAAGAGAAAGAAAAAGAGAAGCAGTGCTAAAACAGCATATCTATTACACTCACTTGTCACAATGATTGGATTATTCTGCACTTTAAGCTAGTGCCAATGCTAACTTAGACTTATGGGCACAAATTTAAGATATTCCCTAATCCCTTTTTTAAAACAAGGCACAGGAGATATATGTTTAACCAATAACTGTAATTGTCTATGCAGGTACAAAATGCTTAACTTTTTATTTTCAAGTGAATTATAACTGCAAAGAGAGAAGAAAGCAGCATAGTTATTTTAAAAGTAATAAAACTTGAGCAAGATGAACTGGTGAGTTAAGGGAATCACTGCCAAGCCTCACAGTCTGAGTTTGATGTCTGGGACTCTCAGGATGCAAGTAAAGAGCAGCTTCTTAAAAGCTGTCTTACGATGTGCAGATGTCACAAGGTTATGCACACACACACACACACACACACACACGTGCTCTAAGTGTAATTTAGAAATTAAATAGGTGTATTAACAACTATGCCTCTACTAGTCACATAAAGTAAAAAAATATGCTGGGACTTTTATAGCCCCTGGGATGCCCTCCTGGCCGCGTGTCTTTGCCTTGTCCAGATTTAGCTATTCTGGGATTTTGTGGGATATTTTTCTCACATTGTTTTACTTCATACATTTATCCTTCCCAGGATTATAAGCTATCTTTGTCCTCCATTTTCTCTAAAGGTTTTAAAGTGTTAGCTTTGCATGTAAGTCCAGAACTCAGGAGGAGCGTATTGACCTTCACGTGTGAGGCAGGGACTGGTGTTTACTTTTCTCTTGGACTACTCACTACTGCCATGGACTTGCCAGCATGAGACACAGTCCACCACATGCACCTGTGTCTGGACTCTGTACTCTACCTACTGTGTGTCTTCTACTCCCAGCCGTGGATAACTGCTTTCTACCCAGCCTTGAAGGAGCAGGCAAAGCGTTCTTGCTTCGCTGTTTTGTTCTTGCACTCTACAAGATTGTGGCTTCCCTCATACCAGGTACTAGGTACTTGGTACTTCACACTTGGTGTTGTCTATATTTTCATTTTAATGGTTATGGAGTAGCATCTCTTCAGGGCTTCAAGTTTCTTACTAATGGATAATGGCTGTGAGAATCTTTCATATACTTGCTTTCTATCCCTGTATCTTCTTTGACCAATTATATTTCATGACTTTTGCCCATGTTTTCACACTTACTATTAATTTTATTTTTATTTCTACCCTAAAATATACTGGAAACTACAACATAAATATATGAAATTCCAACCCAACATCTACAGGCTTCATTCTTTCAAGAATCTGCAATTCCCTTTCCTGACTGTGAGAAATCTTTCTTATTTTGGCCCATTAATACACCATTCAGCTATCTTTGGTATAGTACATTATCCTCACAATATTTAATTTCTTCCTCAAGTCCATGAAACATGACCAATCTCTCACCTCTACCAGTAGGCTTATCTCCGAAGCCCTGCTCTTCCTGCTTGGGTCCCAGTAGCCCACATGGGGATGCACCCATCCATGGGCACACTCCTGTGCTTCCCTAGGGTCTCCACTCCCACAGCAGGCTGCCCCTTCAAAGGGACACTGTAGTCATCATGCCTGACACTCAGGATACAGAAATCCCTTACCCACCAGAGATGACCTCACCCCACCCAGACTTCCCTGTATTACTTCACACTAGCTTACTGTTTGGAAATGTTAAGAATTGATTGTTTTCTTAGCATTGAACTTTAAGGACTTTTTGTTGTTGCTTTGTTTTTCGAGACAAGTTTTCTCTGTGTAACAGCTCTGGCTATTCTGGAACTGACTCTGTAGACCAGGCTAGCCTCAAACTCACAGAGATCTACCTGCCTCTGTTTCCCTGAGCTCTGGGATTAAAGGCATGTGCCACCATGCCTAGTTTGAACTTTATGAATCTTAAGTATTCTGGATATAAGTCTTGTGTTAAGAAATATAGTTTGCAAATACTTTCTCTTAGTCTATAGGCCTAAGTTTTAAGGCAGAATAATTATCATTTTTTTCTTTTTGTTCCACATCTAAGCTAATACAAGATTTGGCAGGGGTAGTAGTAGTGGGTACTCTGGTCTTCTGTTCATGTTTGTTTTGAGGCAAGATCTTGCTAGCACAGTCTAGTCTTAAAATTACAGTTCTTCTGCCTCAGCTTCCTGAGTGCTGGGATCAAAGGGGTGCACTGCCATACCTACTTTCTTTGTCTTACTTTTAATAACAAAATGAATGCCCATAATGGTCATCACTGATGAAAATATTTCTTGTAGATTTTAAAAATATCTACTTGCTGTTAGGGTAAGAAAGTTATATAAGTTTATAATAATTTATGGATTTTGATAACTGCATAAAACCTGATGAAGAAATCCAAAGAAATTCACATACAAGCAGGGAGGCAATGTGGTAAAGGATACAGGCTAGAGGGTTAATCATACCTGAGCTTAAGCTCTAGGTCTGTTATTATAATCTTTGTGGGAGGGAGGATGGGAGGTATAGTCTCTTCCTGTTTCTCCATGTGTAAAACTTTATGGAGTTATTGTATAAAAAAGAGCTACTGGGATGGGAGGGAGGGCTTAGAGTAGTAGGGTGTGTTGCTGTTGTATTGGGTCTCAGAAGTATACCTGCTTTGAATGCTGACCTTTCACTTCAATTCTAACTGGGCATCTCCTCCATGGTGGGTACCAAGCATCCAGAGGGTGGCTTTAACAAGGTTACTACCTTATGGCCTATGAAGGGTTCTATAGGGTTAACATAGTAGTAGACTATACACAGCTTTTGCCTTCTACCTTTTTCATGGTAGCACTGTATTTTAACACTGATATCTTCAACCAGAGTACAGTGGTGAGATCAGTTTTTAGACAGTCCTATTTCCACAGAACAGCTCTGTTATTTTTCTACCTAAGCAGCAAGGGTGGCAGAAAGCTCGTGAGCGTGGCTCTGCCATTCCATCAAGGCTGCTGCAGATACCATACTGCAACGGCACTCTGCACTGCAGTTCCAGAACGTGGGAGCAAATGCTTGTTATTTGACAATTAGTAAAGCTTACGTCAAAGTGCTAAGGCACATATTATCTATTCAGTTTCGGATTTCCAATGTTTTATATCCCTAAGTACTCTCCCATCTGTTAATTAAACTAAAATGTTGAAGCATGTGAAATTGGTGTAGCAAGTGGAACCCTATCTTTACCTTGAACTGATTCTATCAGCCCACCTTGGAGTCACAAGGGAATGATTTAACTGAATGTTTAATCACAATGTACAGGCTACATCTTAGTCTATCAGATTGCAACTTGTCCTGGAATAATCTTTCTTTTTCGTCCCCTACATCTCCATTGGGGGAAGATGAGGACTACTTTTACTTAAAGCCATTAAGAATCACTTTAAATATAAATCCTAGAAGACATGGCACTTGGGCCAGTCTCAGCTTATTCCTCTTGTCAGTCCATAAGCACACAATTAGGATGGTGTGATAAGAAGCTGTGTCACATGAACTCCCAGAGGTGGAAAAAAAATTATTTTCTGTACTAAATTCTATCACATCACAGTTTAAACGCTATTTTTAAAGTACTGAAGCTATATATGAAGACTATAGTTTTGGTGGCTGATTTTAAATGTAGGCTTGACTGAAAATGTTTACCAGAACATTACTTTTAGTCACTCTTCTTCAGACAGGCTAGGATGTACTAGGCTGCACTGAGGAGAAATGTTCACTCAATTTCAGAGGTTGGTGTTTACCATGAGGTCCGGGAAGCCAACAACTATGGTAGCATGGCTCTTTTCATCCGAGAGAACACGGTTAGGAGAGGCAATCTTCTGGCCCACAGCGGAGGTTAGGTTTTCAGATGTCAGCTGATCACTTGAAACTTTATGAGGTATGCAGAACTCTGTTTCTGAAAAATGTCAGATACATCTTAGACATGATTAATCTGAATATGTTCCAGGAATTATCATTGTTATTCTTTTTTTTTTTTGAAGGATTTCATTCTCAACAACTCAAACAACAAGTTTTATTTTTTAAATATTTTAAACTACATCTGCCAGCTTTTGTCTGAGAAAATGGTTTTAATCATCAAAGCATCTTCCCAAAGTGAGTCCAAGCACTTATGCAACCCAACACTTGGCAGCAGTAACTATCCTCTTGAATCAAGGACCCTGGCCAGGGTAGGTAAACTGTGGTGAATGGAGTGGAAGTTCTGATAAGATGGTAGCCTGTAGGGGGGAAAGATGGTAACCCAGGCTAGACTTGGAACCTAACTATAGTAAGTAAAAAATGGAACAAACAGACAAACAAGCCATTCAACAGTTAAACAGATCTCACACAGAGTTTCAAAGGGTGGCTTCCTGATGAACATTTGTAGGTGGAGTCTGATTTCCTACTTCTGGCGCAGTGTCTAAGCTGTTTGGTTTGGTGTAAGTATTACCCAGGCTGATGCTCCTGTTCCCTCGTCAGCCTGGAGGGCAGTGTATGCATAAGAATGCATATGCATACACAGCAGCAAGCACAGGGAACACAGTATTTACCTTGTGTGAGCCCAAATCCTGTGCTAGGCAGCTCTTCTTTCAACATATACAGCTGACAGGCCCCAGTGTCCTCAGAACCAATGTGTGCAGGCTTAGTCAAAAGAAACTTCCTGTAAACAAACAAGAAGCCTAACTTAATTTAAATCTATTTTATCTTACATGTTTTCTTTTCTAACAATCATTAGGACAGGCCAAGAAAAATTAGATTTTTTTCCCTCTCAAAGCTCCTAAGCATAATTTGTACCTTAAACATTTCATCACAAATTACCAAAAACCTTTTCAAAAATACTGTAAAGAAAAATACTAAATGATAACATAGTAAATACAAATTCAAAAACAATTTCCTATACAAGACAGGCACAGTTATGATGTAGCCTTCTCTCTTTGTTGTTGTTCTTGTGGATTTTTTTTTGAGACAGGGTATTGGTATTGGAATTAATTATTAGTTCAGGCTGGCCATGAACTCATGATTTTCCTGCCTCCATATTCTGAGTGCTAGGACTTCAGGTGTGCACTGCCATGCCCGGAAATGGAGCTCCCTCTGGATATGAGTCTTGGGTCAGGCAGCAAATGAGACTGTAACTTTACATTTGTGACCAGCTGAGAAACAGAAGTGCTTGCCACTATAATTGCCCACGTTTTTATTTGCTTTTAAGATTTCTAAAACATGAAAGATAGGGAGAACAATGGTAGACGAGGCTGGCCCTCTGCATACTTCCTGAGAGAGCACACCCTTAGGGTTACCCACTGATTTGTTCCGTTTTCCACAAGAAGCCATTTGTCCTCCGCGACAAGGAAAACTGCCCTGAGGTTGATGGGGAGTGAGATGGTGTGCGCTAGTCCTTCTAAGACATCCAGGACAGTCAAGCTATTCCTGAAAAAGAAGAAAATTATATTTGAAAGGACGTGATGAGGATAACGTGATGTAATCATATTATGATGTAATATACAACCCAAAGATGCATATTTTTTTTTAGACTAAGCAATAATAATGGAACATGTTAGTTTAGAAAACTGGTGTACAACATTCTCAATATGTCAGGGTAGGTATGAGGAAAAAATAACAGGAAGTGGCACCTGCCATGTAGCCAGGGCTGTGTTACATAATCACAGTATTATTTCTTATGCCTGTTTCTCAGCATTCTTAGATTTTTGAAGGGTTATTTTCAGAATAAGATTTTATTTTATTTTGTTAGTTTTATACTAAACAAGTATAATTACATCAGGTAACAGAATGAACAAAATAAGAATTCCAGCTTAAAATCTTCTACAGTGAAGAGCTTACCCTGTTTCTTTGTAGAATACTACCCAGTTTTTGTGTGAAAATTCTTTACACATTCTATAAGTTTCCTAAAGAAAAACAAAACAAATATACACGTGAATGATCTCTTAACTCCTCCTGTAATGCACGACCCAAGCCACTGGCAGAGAAGCATTCGTCTATGCCAAGACTTTCAGGGGAACACAGATTAACCTATATTTGAAAATATACTGCATGTTATATATTAAAGCTCTTTAGGCATTTTGAGGGTTCTGTTCTGAGTACTGAGGCTTAGACTCGAGGCCTTTGCTTGGTAGGCAAGCAGTCTATCAGTAAGCTACTAACACCTCTTCAGAATAATTTTTAAATAGTACCAAATGGGGTTGGAGAAATGGCTCAGCAGTTAAGAGCACCTGCTACTCTTGTAGAGGACCTGGGTTCAGTTTCCCCCAGCTATATGTTGGCTCTCAGTCATCTACAACTCCAGTTCCTGGGGATCCAACATCTTCTTCTGGCCGCTGCACCAGGCACTCACATGCATAGATACACATGTAAGCAAAACACCCAACACATGAAAATAAATCTTTTAAAAAGTACAAAATAATGGTTTAAAAAAAGGTTCTAATTTCTGGTTAACTATAGAATTTATATCATAATATAAGCATATAGGAAATACTTTATTTCTTAGCTCTTAAGTCAATTATGACACTTAAAAATACTTTTTCAGTCTTTTATGAACTATGCATGCTTATTTGCAAAGCACTGGATAAACTTTATCCTAAATTTAAATGGCAGAAAAAATTTTCCTTGTGTGAGGCTACATGGTTTGTTTAATTTAGTTAATAAACTGAAACAGGTATCTGATAGAGGCAAATCAGTTGCTGTATCTAAGATCTTAACATATAAATCCAAAATATAACTCTGTAATTGGAAAATAATTAAGTTGACTGCATGACTAAGAATTTGCTATGAATATCCCACTCAAATAGCTCCAATGCCCCTTAATAGTCCAGCCCTGCAATCTTCACATTGATATGCTGGGTACTAAAGGGACCTCCTGCTATTTAATGGAACATCTAACTACACAGTCTTCCCATGTCAAAATCTAAAATTGCTTAATAACTCTTCTGTGGCTTCTAGTTTCTGTTGTTGTTTGGCACCGGGAGGCATAGACAGGCATCTGTTTTGGAGGTTGGGAAAATCCCTGGCAATCAATTTGCTAGGCAAATCTGGTATTCCTTACACCTTCTTCCTTGATCCACCAGGAAGACTTCTTAGATGTAAACTCTTCTGTGGGAAGGATGAGACGTCGGATGGCACGGCCATTGGTGTCGAGCAAGAGGACGGCATTACTCTGGAAATAAAGAAAACGGTATGAAATTGAAGACACCACCACCATAAAAACAGCAGTGACTAGGAACCTGAGAAAGAAGGTTACTATGATAAACCAAAGAAAAGAAAATGATATTGAAATGTAAGATATCACGAGAACTCAGTAATCTTCACACAGAATATACTTTTGGTTAATTTACTGAAGAATTAGGTGATTATGTAACCTTTTCTTTGAAGGTTGTCTTAAGATCAAAGATGGCTGCTCTATACTTGTGTTTATTAGTCAGGAAGTGAAGATTACCCTTGGAGTTGGAGAGATGGCTCAGCATTAGAACACTGGAAGCTCTCACAGAAAACCTTGTGCTGTCCAGTTCCAGGGGATCCGCCACTCATATCTGGCCTCCATAAGTACCAAGCACACACATAGTATACATGCCTACATGCAGGAGCTCTCTGTCTCTGTCTCTCTCTCTCTCACACACACACAACTGTAAAACAAAACAACCCACCACTACCAATAATAAACCACTGCCAATAACAAGAACATGCCCCTTCTGCCAGCTTTGTTTAATATTGGCCTGGCCTGAAATTCTTTCTGTGGTGAAGCCTAGGATGTGGGATTATCTGAGTGGAGATCTTCAGCATGTGTCTGCCCTGCCACCCATGGAACTTCCACTACAGTTGCTACAATAACACACAAACAAGGTTTCTGTGGCATGACTTAGAGCTGTGTGACAGAGGGACCAGCCGTCAGGCAGACAGACCCACAGACAGACCGGAAAAAAAACTCATGTCCTTTTTACTTAAACATTTAAGATGGTCACTTCTGGGTTCTTCTCCCTCTGACAAAGGCTTGGTGTTTTGTTTTTTCCCCCTCTGAAGGGAACTATTCCAAGTAAGGAACTCTCAAACCTCACACTGGAGGTTACTGTGGTGGAAACCAATACTCTTATGTGTCTCTGTATTATCCAGTTTTACCTGTGATAACATAAGCAGTCAGTTCTGAAGGACCATATACAATCCCCCACCTCTAGGTAGACTTGGACACATCTCCAGGACCCCTCCCCTTCCTAGAGGCTGGTCCTGTCCTCTCTGGTGCTTTGCTCTGTGTGCATGCACGCACAGACACACTCACGCACAAACACACGCATGCCTTGGCTTTCAGTGAAACTTGCCTGAGGGCTGAGACCTTGCCTTTCTTACTCCTTTACTCTAAGTCAGAGGAGGAAAAGAACCCAGTCCTGGAACCTATCCTAATGGCATCATAGTGCAATAATAATCTCTTGCTAATTTTTTTCAAGGAAGAAAATAAACCCTAAGTATTGAACTTATGAACTGGAACACATGCAATAGGGATTTAAAATTGAGAAAGCTAGAAAAGATTAAATGTGTTCAAATACTGCAAAGAAGCTGGTTTTCTGGTTAAAATATGAAAGCAGCAGAGTAAAGGGGTGTCTGTAAGTTACACCTCACTGTCTTGCAACTGTACAGTTTTCCTTGTTCTAATTTGGGTCTAGTCATCCTTGCCCTCCAAAGTTCTTATGAGAAAAAGCCACAGAGCACCCAACGACAACAGACACCTTATAAGATGCAGAAAACAATAAAATATGGTATGTTTGCTCCATTATTCCATAGTATCAACCAGATAGCTCATATTTAAAGTGAGGGAGAATACGATCCTGATTAGTCATGGCCTCTGCCTTCCAGTATGCAGTCTAGTCAGAGAAATGAAAAGAAATACAAAAAAGTACTTTACAAGATAATTTAATTAACGTACACTAGATAAAACATTATTCCCACCTCAGAGTTCACTGCACACCACGTACTCTGATTTGTGGCTATGTTATTTTTTAGTAAGCATGTTGAGAAAACTCTAACTTTTTCACAGGTAACACCTGTGAATGACAATTCCTGAGAAGAAGCCGCATCTATCTGTGAAGATAGGCTCCTGGAAGGAGTCTGTGTCTGTGGAGACTGATGGGTGGGCAGGCTGCAGCCCCAGTGCTGTGGAGAGACTGGAATCTTGTCGGCTTAGAGGCTAACTACTTTATCTTGGACTAGTTTTAGCTTCTGGAACAGCCATTCCTCGTTCTACTCTGTATCTGAACTAATATCTCATAATAACCAATAAAAAAAACCCCTTAGATGCTATTAATTTAGCAGAACACTACCTTTTACCAATCCAAGAGCTAAGACTGTCATCAGGTAGCACCTTGGGCCTATGAATAGTTCCCCCCATCTTGCTGTACCTGCTGCCTCTCTGGTGTACCCACCAGTTGTATTTTAAACTTGACTTGATTCATGACTTTTTTTGTTCTGTAAACTTCTAAAAACGTCATGAACCTGCTTCCATGTTGGACATGATCATTTTTACTGGCTCCAGAACAAACGCTCTTTTATTCTATTTAAGATGAGGCCCTGACACACTTAAAGTGGCACCCATTTCTGGTTCTCTTTAAGAACGTATGGTAGACATGTTCTTTAGAATAACGTCTAGCGTAAGGAGTCTTGTTTCCTGGTATTTGAATGTTTTGAAAATGGTGGTGAAAGCACAAAGCTTTTCCCTCTACAAATGTAAACACAAGGGTGGAGGAGACAGGTCTGCAGGAACAGGGCTTGCCCACAAGTACAAGGAAGGAGCAGAGCTTGGCTCCCTAGAACCCATAAAGGCCATAAAGGCCAGGCATTTTCCAGGTAGAACTGGGACCTGCCAGGCAATCTAGTGAGATAGACCAGATGAGCCTGTGTGCTCTGGATTCGTGTGAGAGGCCCTGCTTCAATATGTAGGCAGATTGAGGCCAAGAAGGACACTTGACATCACCCTGTGGCCTTGACACATACATACGCATGACAAATAATTTAAAAAGAAAGCATAAAATCAAGTTAAAAATTTACAAGGTCTCTGTCCTAGGTTAAATTCTTTTTGAGTAGCTTTTAATAGAGAAAATGTTTCTTGCATGATAAATACATACAACTCTGTCATAAATCCTTAGCTCTTAAGTAATCTGTGATTAAAGGAAGTCCTAAAATAAAGTGTTCGCCTTTAAAAATAAAAAATGATCAGATGATTAAACAGAGAATTCAGTGTAATTCCCATTTTCCTTCCTTTTCTAGGTTCAAAGACATGTATCCTCCTAACTGGGCATACGTGACCCGAGCACCGTCTGCTAAGTGAGACACACACACACACACACACACACACACACACACACACACACACACACTCTTCCTAGCACATGTGTCCACAGCCTGAGTGCACTGCCCCATGGGCTGAGAATGGCTTCCACCAACACTTGGCAGCCTGAAAGAGCTCTGTGGCTCCATCCTTTTAGATGTTAATGGGTTCCTTCTGTAAATGACTAATGATATATTCTGCCTGTGCTTAAAAATAGAATCTCACGTCACACATGAGTACAAGAAACTGTGGCTTTGGCACTGCTTGGCGTGGGGGCAGGGTGTAGGAGCAACTGAGCCATTTTCTTGTGTTTGGATCTGACTGGGAGAAGAGTAACCTCTGGATGACCTCCATGCCCAAGTCTGAAACACTAAAGGCTAAGCAGATGTACTGAAGAAGCCCTTGGGAACAGGGGCAGGGCGAGGCCGTTATTTTTAGTTTTCCTGTCCTCACTTAAGATTTTATTTTAGCAAGGAATTTTTGAACAACTTTTCAACTAACCAGGAGGACGCATCTACAGCAAAACTTTATTTTAAAATGATAAGGGCCAGATTTATTTGTGGCTGCACTGCGTCCCTTTCAATTCTGTCTACCAGAATCAAGAAGAAGGATTCCGAGGGCAGCCCACATGTTTATACCACTAGTTAAATTGCTCCATCCCTGTCCCCCCATCCCTCCCCCAGAGAGGGTTTCTCTGTGTATTCTTGGCTGTCTTGGAACTTGCTCTGTCGACTAGGATGGCTTCAAGATCAGAGATTTACCTGCCTCTACCTCTCGAGTGATGGGATTAAAGGTGTGCGTCACCACCGCCCAGCCTGACTGCACTGATTCATAAAACAGTCAACTGGAATAACCTCTGTGAGGAGGGAGAGGAGGGGCAGCTTGAATGGCTTTCAGGATGCAGAAGTCGGACAGGGTCTGAGAGTACCTAGAGGCAAGCCACAGGCCGTGGAAGTCAAGTTCAGCTCTACAGTGAAAACTTTATTACCTTGATGAAAAAGTCATTGAACAAAAAATTAGCCTAGAGTGTTGCCAAACAATTGGATCTTTTGAGAAATACAACATGAGCTGAGCATCTAAAATCTAATAGTGTTACAGAATTTGTATGTGTAAATTTCTGTTAATGTGACAAGCTGAAAATCTGGGGCAACTGTTTGAATAAATACTTCCAATTATGAGTCGCGTCCAAATTTGATTAGCTGATTAAATTTAAATTCACCCTGACAGGTCCTGTCTATGGTGGATTCTTCTGGTTGTGAAGCTCGTATGTGGGACGAGGCTCTGAACTCAGGTCTCCATGCTTTCTGTTGGTCTGTTTGCTGTTTGGGGCCAGGTCTCACTGAGACACTCTGGGCTGTCCTGGAACCCACTCCACATGCCTGCTGTGTTAGGAAGTCCTGCCAGCTGCACTGTCAAATGCATCTAGGGCCAATCACTTATGACCTTCACCCTCCTCCAGGCCACCAGGATTTTTTGGAGTGCTCACTGTGAGAAGATCTTAACTGGCTCCCCTTTTTTTTTCTGTCTCATTTCTCACTGATAACACACAGTAGCTGAAGAAACCCCTTTCTGACATGACAGAGCACACTCCCCTCTTACTCTCAGGGCCCAGAACCTTCCAGTGCCTACAAGGCTCTGAGCAATCTGCTGCCCACCGGCTCCTCTACCTCCCCTCTACTCCTGCTCACTGAATAACCTCTCTACTTCACCTTTTCTCATCCTTGTTCAATCCTTAAACAGGAGGAGGGAATGTTCTAGCCTCTGGGGTTCAGAACGTATCATTTCCTGAACCTACAGGCTTCCTCTGGGTTTTCATTCCCGCTCACCTCCATCAGACACTCAGGCCGTTCTGACGGCCGTTATTTTAAGTTGCATCCACTCTCTCACGTCTCACACTGTAGGCCAAGGTGGAATTTAACTAGTGGTTTATTTCTCTTATTGTCTATCCTGGACCAGATTTTAAACTGAGAGTAAAAATAACTGCTATCTCTTTGTAAAAAACAATTTATTTACTCACTTATTGCGTTTAATGGGTTTATGTGTGTGTACCTGCACAAGTTTATGTGTATAATGTTCATGTCATCGTCTGTAGAGGTCAGGAGAGGAGAGTGGGTCACAGGCGACAATGAGCTGCGGTATCAGAGAACTGGGTCCTCTGCAAGTGTAGTAAGTACTCTGAACGCTGAGCCACCTTTGCTGTTCCTTGCAGTATTTCCAGCAGCAGGCATGGGAATTGTAAAATAAATGCTATGCCGTGTGCAACACCGGGCAGTTGTTAGGTAGAGATAGGCACACAAACCAGACCATGTTCTGTGGGTATAGTGCAGATTAATGAGACCTTTAGAATTTCCACTAAGTGAAGTATAACCCGTCTTCTGATCTGTGTCATCTGTTTGGAATTACTTTCAGCCTGACACTAGCTAGGCATCTGTCCTTTTCATTAGTGAGACCTTAATTTACTAATCTATAAATGTGATGGGCGGAAGTTGAGCATTACTGACACAGAAGAATCCCAACGCACTTCATTCTGTGGATTTCTGTGGTTATCTCTGAAGAATGTCATTTAGATCTCAGATAACATGTTATCTCCTCAGAGGAGATAACTTGGCACTCCTCTAGTTCCATTACCCTCCTAACCTACTTCATCCCCACCACACTCTCTGACATCACCCCACTTCTACAGGACCTGGAGGAGATGTATTTATTTACTGGTTTACTAGTTTTCTGTCTATCTTTTTAAAAAGACTGACAGTTTCTTAACTGTCCACGTGGTAAGTTGGAAAACTGACCCGTGACCTGTTTCCAGACTTGCAAAGTGTGTTCAAGTGTCTCCAGATAGAAGATAGTATCCCACCTTTGTGATCTGTGTGATTGGTACAGCATGAGCTCGGCCAATGTAGGGCCCTGCCCTGGATCTTTCTGAAAGCTCAGGTTTTCTATCATAGCTGATATCACTCTTGACTTTTTCTCTAAAGCACTCAGTCTTCCCGCATCGGTACCTGTGAGTGCCTAGTGTGCCTTACCTGCTCCTCATGCACAACAACTTGACCCTTGAGTGGACTCCCCAGCGGTGCTACTGACACAAATGGTCGCCAGGATCCACTGGCCATCCTTGGGAAAATGTCAAAGAAGTCCACAAAGAAGCCATTTTTCCCAGTCATATTCATGAAGTACAAGGAAACAGGATTGCATGCAGCCACGTACAGAGTGTGTTCTCCATCTTCTGAAATGAAAAAATGTGTTCACTGTGCAGTCTGTGAACAGTTTTCTGGCTGGTTAATGGTGTAGCACAGCTGAGTCTTGCTCCTGAGCACAGGGCAGGCGGGGGGGGGGGGGAGCTCAGCACATGGGTTTTAGGTTTGTCAGGCTGACGAACTCTGTTCCCACCCTAAATGCAGACAGTGACACCCACGTAGTAAAGCAGCACCATATAGTAAAGGGCTCCCAAAGAATTCCACAAGGACCCGTGATAACTGCATTAGATACTTGACAATCTGGGATGTCAGGAGACTTTTCACTATGTGGCAGCAAAGAGCTCCGTGGCTCAGTGCTTTCCTCTATCATGACATTGTTCTTTCAGAAGCATTTTGTCAACATCGTCTATCTGCTAAGTTCTCCTCTTTTAGACAGTTATTAGGCTACAGAATTTTCTTCCTATAAATAAGAAATTTGATTCTTAAAAGATCTGAGCCCTGTGGGTCTCCCCTTCCCCAGATATGGCAATGAAGATTTAACTTAAGGTAATGAACATGCTAAGCAAGATTTCTACCACTGAGCTAAACCCTCACAGTTTATCACTGTAGATTTTAACTTCTAATCTAATGTTCATATCTGAAATTTTCTTATGCAATCTCTCTTAAATCCTAGCCTATGTCTAGCTTCTAAAACATAAAGCAATGCTTCTGTATGTTTCAATCACCAGCAGAGCCAATGGGACTGCAGATACTAAGTCAGTGGAGCTGCAGTGGGCTGTCATGTTCTGTGTTTTAGCAAAGGATGCCAAAAAAGTTAGTTTGGGTGCCCCCTCCCCCGTAAATCAACAGGGCCATCATCTCTTACATGAGAACCTTGAGGTACAAGCTGCTTTTGTCTGATGAGTGCTTTAAGCATTGCCTGTCAGTTATTAACCTTACAGCAATCACATTTCCTTAATGTCAAATTAGATAAAAAGGAAGACAGTGAGATGGAGTAGAATTTGGTCCGATCCAAGAAAATCTGGATCACATATGTGTACAAGCCATATCTAAAACATTTATACAAATATGCCCAAAATATCAGTTCTACAATAAATAGATATACACTAGAAAAGGTACATTAAAAGATATATTAAATTTAGATAAATAAACTAATATCAATGAGGAACACAGCCACCAGGCTGGGCATGGTGTCACACACCTTTAGGCAGGTGGACCTCTGTGAGTTTGAGGCCAGCCTGGTCTATATAGCAAATACCAGGCCAGCCTCGGCAACATAGTGAAACCCTGTCTAAAAAAAGAAGGAGGAGGAAAACAATGAGGGAAAAGAAGAGGAGGAAGAAGCTGAAGAAGATATATTTTATTATTATTATTGTTATATTATTATTAGTTATTATTATTAGTTTCTGAGATAGGGTCTTACTATGCAGCTCTGGCTGTTCTGGAACTCACTGTGTAGACTAAGCTGGGCTTGAACTCACAGAGAGCCACCTGCCTCTGTCTCCTGAATGCTAGGATTAAGGATGTGTGCCACCATATCTGGCCTGTTACTTAAGAGCTGATATGAAGTATGCTGTAGCAATTCCAAGTATCAGTCAGGATAGCAGAATTTGTACCTTATTGGCCTTTTAAATGCATCCATTATGAACAAAAATAAGTTCAATTTAACATTCTATGAGCACTTTCCTGCATATGCGAGGGCATCAGGGACACAGGAGGACCAGTGGCAGAAATACACACCCCACAATCATTAATTGTCTCACATTACAGGCAGTAAGTGCTGTCTGCTCCTTGGCTTAAACATATAGATATATAATTAACTCCAACTCTCTCCTAAGAAAGAGCTGTTTTCTCTAAAAATGCAGAATAGGTTTTAAAAAGGAGAAGGATGAGAACTAGGGGGAAAACCAGTTTGCGGATGTGGTTCCCTGAGAGAAAGGGTTACATTTTATCGGGGAGGGGCGGGAATGTGTGTGTGTGGGGGACAAGCAAATGAGTCTTTTTCAAGGCCAACTGTGACTGTCTGCTAGAGCAACCTGAAGCACTGTGCTCAGAACAGGGGCCGAGAGCAAATTTAAACAGTGTTGCAGGCAATTTGCTCTCCACTACAGCTGTGTGTTAAGAGGGTCACCATTCATCACAAGCACCAAAGTTCGACCTTCATCTATCCACTCTCAAACTCTCTCTCTCTTTACCAGTGAATGCAACATATCCTGATAGGAGCACCCATCCTTTACCGACAAACAATAATACAACCTCCAACATTTATTCAAAATGGCTGACTTGAAGAAGAAATGACAGCCACAGAACTTACAGGGACAAAAGCAAGATCCAGACTGTTCTCCTCAGTGATTCTATCTCAGTCAAGTTAGCAGCTGCCCTTGCCTTCTACCAGTTCATTCCTACCACTTTAGTAACAGACATTATCTGAAGAACATCTGTCAGGAGGTACCCAGAGTCCAAGGCACAAATGAGCCAGTGGTGGCAGCAGCCTCCAAGTATCGAGCCAACGGCTCCCACCCTCTGCCTGCATCCCTGACAGTGGGGGCTTAATAATGGGAAGAGGCTCCAGGCCTCAGTGCCATGGTTTACGCAGTCACCAAACTGGACCCCAGCCTCCCTTCTCAATCCAGTGTTTCTCCTTTCTCTTCTCCCCTTCTATTTTCAGCACACTCCTGGGAGTGTTTAACTTTGTGCTATGATTGTAATGAGAAACAGACATCTGCACACCAACCCAGTGATGCCTATGTGGGGTCCACAATATCATTTTATGGGGTTGTTAGAGGAAATTAGTTCTAAATTATATATAATTGCTATCTGGATCCACCAAGTCACCAACCGTCTCTCACAGAGTTCTTGATGCCTCAAGATTATTGTAACCCCTCTGATTTTAAATCAGTGCAGGAGGAAAGGATCAAAAGAATCAATGGACATACCATGTGATACAGCGATGTCACAGATTAAATTAACTTCATCCATTGGAAACTTCCAAGAGGTACATTCTTCAGTAAAGTTTAGGAATCTCGCTTCATGTTTTTCTATTGGGTACTTTTCTATGTTCACAAGAACTGGACCCTATAACAAAGCCACAGTCTTAGTGAAGACAGTTGGGTAGTCAATAAAACAGCTCTTCCAAAATATAGTATTTCTGTATTTCATATCGTGACATACTCTATTATTTGACATGGTACTTAAAACTATAATAATTCTTATCTTCATGAGTGCTTTCTCATGCTGTAGCTCATTACATTTCTCTCTCTCTTTTGTTTTATAATGAAGTATACTATGTCTAAAGCACAATAAGATTTCTGACTATATTTCTTCCTAAACCAAGAACCCATTTTGACCTCCAAATAGAAAAAGACCCAGAGTTGCTCAAACCAGCAAAATAACGTACGTTTACAAACTGGGGACTAGTATATTTCCACTGTAAAGAAAGATTATGAAATCATTATACTGAAATGAAACAGCTAAAGTGGATCTTTTAAATTAAATGTTTAAAAATAGGATATTAAGACAAACTACTCCCCCCCACAAATGACTGATAATCACAAGTGCTACTTATAAATGGGAGAATGTTTCATATGTGGTATATGATTATTTAATATAAGCAAAGGAACTAACTTGATTATATTGTGTGTATCAGTTCTGGGTAGTTAGCTTTAACTTCCTGGAAGAATCCTATTGTACAACTAAGTTTTCAATGACTTTCATGCCCTACGGTCCTTAATTAATCAAGATATTGAGCTAGATATTGGCATCCATGTCCCCTCCTATCTAGAGTGTACCCAGGGGACTGAAGAGTCAAACGGTATCCCTCTTCAAACCTTGAGCAAACATTTCTAGAAGTGATTTAGGTGCTCTGATTACACTTAAGTGACATTGAGGGGGTGGGGGGAACAGAAGACAGGGACAGGTCTGGCGAGAAGCTCTGATAAATGAGAGATTCTATGCTCCCAATGGACTGACAAACCAGAACTCACTCCTGGATTTTCTAAATACAACTTTAGTGGAAGAAACCATCTTTTGGTTTATGTACTGTCATAACTGGTTATTGTGTTACAATGACAGAATTTTGTTACAACAGAATCTTTCTAGACCACAAAATCTACCATATTATTTTTGGCCATTTACAGCTTAGGTCTGTTGACTGCTGTCTGTGTAGATCCCAGAAGTGAGGATAGTAGCAGACAGAAAATCACCTATTTTAGAACAGTGATTTTAGCGTGATCCCTGACTTCTGTTCCTAACCACCCAGAGGAGAACTCTTTCTACCTGAAATGCTTAGAATGATTTTGATGATAACTAATAACGAGTGACCCTCTCCTTTTCTCAGGAATACAATGTCAACAATGTATGGAAAACAACTGAATCTCGTTAGCATACATAAGGTAACGACAAATATCACAGAGTCACTCTGTAAGGAAACTAAACAATATACCCAACTGATTGTCCCAAAACACAAGATTGGCTCTTAGAAGTTTTGTTTGGCCAATAGCAACTGCCTACATTGAATTCCTTGGAGGTCAGGTTGAACTTTAAGTTGGCACAGAAGCTAAAGAGCCAACCAACCCGTAAGTCACTCCTCCGACTGTGTGGACCCATCAATAGAAGATTCAGAAAGTTGTAGATTCAATGTTAAGAGGGAACAATGACGATAGCAACCTTTACGTCAACGTGATGCGTTTCGACTGGACACAAGACCTTCTGCATCCCACTTCCCGCCTGACCGACGGTCCAGTAGCCCATGAATGTCTTTTCTGGGAGAGGAAACCTGTTGAAGATGATTTGAAAAAGTAAGCATTTTTCCCCATTATCAAGTGTCTTAGAGTTACTACTGCTTTGATGAAACACCATGACCAAAGGACTTTGGGGAGAAAAGAGTTTATTTGGCTTATACTTCCGTATCACTGTTTATCATCAAAGGAAGTCAGGATGGGAACTCAAACAGGACAGAAACCTGAAGGCAGGAGCTGATGCAGAGGCCATGGAAGGGTACTGTTTTCTTATATAAACCAGGACCACCAGTTAAAAGATGGCCCCACTCACAATGGGCTAGGACCTCCCCCATCAATCACTAATTTTAATGCCCTACAGACTGGCCTACAGCCTGATCTTATGTAGGCATTTTCTTAATTGAGGTCTCCTCTTCTCAGATGACTTTAGCTTGTGTCAAGTTGGCATAAAAGCTGCCAGCAGGAAACATATTTACTACCTATCACCAGGAGCACACATACATACAAAGAATGTTCTGTAAGACTCACTTAGAATGCAGTCTATAACATCATGCTTAGAATGTTCATTAGGATGAGGAAGGCACTTCACTTTGGACATTCAGAAAATAAGAACCTGTCCCATTTCATCTTAATGACTATGCTTAAGGCTAACATATTTCCCACTGGAGCTGATACAATGTGTAGTAACTTAACCTGCTTTTTTTTTACATTTTGTGAGCTACCATGTAGTTGCTGGGATTTGAACTCAGGACCTCTGGAGGAGCAGTCAGTGCTCTTAATCACTGAGCCATCTCTCCAGCCCCTTTACACTTTGAACTAAGTAGTACCCTACCCTGACTTCTGATAGAATTGCTTCCTACTTGATTTATTTAAAGAAATACAATTTTTTTTGTTTTGAGACAGGCTCTCACTATGTAGATCAGCTTGGCCTTGAGACAACGCCCTCAGTCTTCCAAGTGCGAACACTTTTTTGAGATAGGATATTATGTATAGCCCTGGCTGGCCTAGAGTACACTATGTAAAGCCAGGGTTGCCCCTCACTTGTGGCATTCCTTCTGCCTCTGCCTCCCAAGTGCTACACTTACAGGCATGCAATACAACATCTGGCTTAAGCAATTTTTAAATAAAGCGATTCCTATACTAAAGCAAATATGGCAGTGATAAAGAATAAAATGTCAGTCAAACCTGAGAATAAAGCTTCTACTTCTTAATCACAAACCTTTTCACTCGAAAAGGACCAGGGATCTGTCATTTTCATTTAGCTCTATTTCTGATTCATCATATGGTACAGCAGCAACAACAACATGACTCAGAGTTCAAAGTTCTCTATGTGGCCAAAAATCAAAATATGTTTACAATGAGTATGGTGATCATTCACACAGCACATATTTGTACTGACAAGTTATTTTGTTTTCAGTAAAGTTATAGTCTGATATATATTTCATAAACTTAGTAAAACTATATAGCTTTGATCACTCTTTGCATAAGACAAGGAACTAAATGCTCTGGCTGAGTATGCTTTTTGACCCGTTGAAACTTGAGAATAAGAAAGGGCCCTCATAATGAGTGTCTTCTAAGGCATATGACCCTGTGAATACGTGATTTAAAATACATTGTAAGGAACTGAGATGACACAGAAGTTAACAGCACTTGCTGCTCTTACAAAGGACCAGAGTCAGATTCCCACCTTGCCTTGCAATCACCTCTAACTTCAGCTCTAAGGAAACCAATGTCCTTTCTGATCTCCATGGCCACTCCCTCCTCATACACATCAATAAAAATATTCAGATACATCCGAATAAATTAATAACATACATTTTAAGTACCAAGGTCGTGATCTTGACTGAGAGTGAGAGGTGGCTGGGCCCATGAAGAATTAGAAGACTATGATGTGTTCTTTTAAATAAAGTAATAAAATGTGTTTCTGCAATAACAGGGCAGAGCTCCTAGAGTGGGATCTTCCTTGTTCTTCTAGTTTGAGGAACAAACTGTATTCTTCAATTGTTCTCCTAAGTTTACTGTTCTCCAAATATGGAAGGAGAAACAAGGAGATACATGAGTTTCTTTCTTAGCATAGTACTGGTGAATGTAAAGACATCTGGGTTTCGGTCCTGGTTCTTTGTTAACTACCTATGCAAAATTGTAAAGAGAGCCAGCTAATATCTCAGCATTAAGTTTTTTTTTTTTTTTATTTCTAAAGAAAGGACTGATCTAGAAGGTCTTAAGGGCTTGGAGAGTCTGTGATAATCATGGAAGCCAAAGCCAGAAATGACAGTACAGTTTAAAGGGCTTGTTTTACTTTGGTGCTCTTGACTGAAATTGATCAATCAGAATGACAATATCTGTACCTATCAATCAGATGGGTTCCTTGGTCAATAGGCATGCTTTTCTTAAAGAATAAAGAAGCTCTAAATAATCACATTTGTTGGAGGTCAAAGTTTTCACATCTTGATCTAGTTACAGCTAGAAAACTTCGTAATAAAATCACCGTTTGTTGATAAGAAATGCATCCAAGGCTGAGGATACATCTCAGTTGCAAAGGCTTGTCTAACAGGAGCACTTGAAAAGCAACACCACTAGTGTATTTACTAATACTTTTATAAATAGTATTAAAGTGCCAAGTAAGAAAAAAATCCCATTCATTTGAGAAAAGGTAGCCTTTCTCAGATTCTAGATCTTATGGTCAATGCCAGAGATGTGCATAAATCTGCTTAAAAGTTGCCAGCCCATTCTAAGTAACAGCCATGGAACCCAGCCTGCTAGCTATCTGAAAAACTAGCCTTGGGATGGACTTTAGTTACCTCACACAGACGGCACACAGAACCATGCAAACCACAGTGTTCTATTGACAGTGTCAACAATGTTGAAAGATGCATTGGCAGGTGGCCTGGAGACAGACAGACAGACACACACACACACACACACACACACACACACACACACACACCCCTGATTGCTTCTGGACCCTGACAATAGTTGGGAAACCATAGTTCCACATTTATTTCCCATGAAGGCTCCTAGAAGCTTTGTGTGTGTGTGTGTGTGTGTGTGTGTGTGTGTGTGTGTGTGTGACCAGACCATTCTTAACTTTCTTCCCTTCAGTGTTAGCAGTCAGAGGAGAGGAAGCATTGTTTGGAGTATGAACAAGTTCTGGAATAATCAATAAAATGGTGCCTATGGAATGGGTTGGGAATTAGGGAACGTTACCCTGATAAACAGTTAGCAAAAAAGGTCTTCTTTTCTATTTTACTGAAATGTGGCATCCAACTCCGACCAGATTAAGTTTTTATGTTTGATTTGATTGACACAACAATGGTATTTTCCATGATTTTAAGATTATGTCACTGTGCTGTTGAACTGTGTTAATGTTCTGGCTGGAATGATGTCTGGGTTTGATTTTAAGGGGGAGGAGCATGAACTCCTCCTATAAATAGAATCACTTTTTATTTTCAGTGTCATTCATCAATTTATGTGTTTTAAAACAATGATAGATTTTAGTACATGTGTTGTGATGTTTCCTAATCCCTTGTGGAAGCAGTAACAAAGATCTGAGACCAAGAGTTTTGAGTAAGAGAAAGGTACACATCAAAATTATGACTTGGGTCAAATTATAGTACTTGGAGCATGTTAGAGAAAGGAAAGGATTTGCTTTTTAAAAAACACACAGACAAGCCATAACACAACGCATATGGCCAGCAAAGTTAGGTAACATCATCTGAGGGACACGTGAGAGCTGTCTCAGAAAACTTCCAAAAAGAGGGGGGCTGGGTTTTTAAAGCACATGTTCTGGCAAATTTCTGCCTCCTCTGAACCTTTGCCAACACTATTTCTGGAGTCTGAAAGAAAACACATGAAGATTTGGATCTTTCTAGGACCATTATGCAATTGGTAGTTGTTGGCACACCTAGTATCAACAATTCCTAAGACATTTCCTTACCACAAGAACTACGAATGTTTATGGAGATAATGAAACCCTTCAGGGTAGTTCTACCAACCCAGAAACTCAACAATAACTACCATCTTCAAGAAGAAATAGAGCGTCTCCAATTTTCCTGCCCTGCCTCACTCGTACCATCTTAAGATCCAACAGTGAGCTCACTGCACGTTCACAGACAGTCCCTGACCAACACTCCCCACTCGGGGCTCTTTCCCCTTTGCTCCAGGCTACCCTGTAACTCAGCCTTACCTGGAACTACTTTTTCACTATTCCCTGAACATGTGTATTTTAATGCCTCCTTGAGGCCATTTCCATTCACTCTGCCACCTCCTCTCTTCACTGAGCTATTCCCCTACCCGCTTTGATATCAGGTATCACAGAGCTAGCTTTGAATTCATCTTGGAACAGAGGATGACCTTGAATTCTAATCTTACTACCTCTACATCCCAAGTGTTGGGTGTGCTGCATGAATCACCACACTCAACTTGGAGATCCTTCTTTTAAAGCCACAATCCAAATATTATTTGCTGTTGAGTCCCTCCTTTAATTTCATTCTGGGAAAAAAAAATCAATCTTTTGTCCTTCTGGGTTTCTATACAAATTTACACATATGAAACCCTGAGAAGTTTTATAGAGTCAGTAACTTTCCAATTTAAGAGAGGCAAGAGAATACAAGTTTAGAGAGAGTAGGTTAGAAATGAATCTATGAAATCTCTGATTTTTTTTAACCTAATAAAATAAAAACTCAGCACAAGGCTGAGCATGGTGGCATATGCCTATGATTTCGGCACTTAGGAAGTTAAGGCAGGAATCTGAGCTAGTATAGATTACCTAGAGTCTTCGAGATAAGCATGGGCTATACTGTAACCCCCCACTATATACCCTTATACACTCCAGTCACATGCTTAACAGAGAAAGAAAGCCCATTTAAACACAAAATAGCAGTGATGGGCATGACTACAGATTCCCAGTGGTATCCTCCTTTGTGGAGAACTGTAAAATCTCCCTCCCCACAGCTCACAAGTCCCTGTCAACTTTACAGTGTTTTGCTGAACACAGTATGTATGTGAGTGTGGTTTTGTATTTTCTTCTGTATTCCCG